AATTATCAACATTCCTATGAGTATGACCTCTTTTATCTCTATTTTAGGATTGAGTTACCTCCTATTAAGTTGGTCATCTCTTGAGTCTGTGTAAGAATTATCATCTTCTAAGAATATATTATAATTTTGGGTAGAACGTGTGACAATATTTTTATTATTTTGTAGATGATTCAAAATAGCTTGCATTTAATCTTTAAGTTCTTATATCTAAATTCAATTTTTCTCAAATAATTATAACCTTAGTTTTTATTTTTTCCATAAATCATAAGGTCCAAGAAATCAACCATTTGGTTCAAGTTCTCAATATGCTTTTGAAAAATTAATTTGGGTTCAATGAGGTGATTTTCTTAAATATAAAGAGAGGGAGATAGATAAGAGAGAAAGAGATATAAATGTGAAAGAGTGAAATTTTAAATATTGATGTTAAAAAAGGATTCTAAGTTGAACTTCTAGGTTATAAAGTTTAGACATTTTGATAAAATTATTTTTAACTTCAAACAAATTTTATACACATATATTCTTATAGATATAATTTTTGAATGTAAAAAAAAAAAGCTTAGATTAGTAAGTCCAAGGCCTTAAGAATATAAATTATTCAAAATTTGATAAATAAATAACTAGCTTTATCAAAAGTAATTAACACAAAAAATGGCAGGGGTTTAAGGGGATACAAAAGTATGAATGACAAGTATGTCCAATTTTGACAAATTTGTGCTAATTTTAAAGTTCTCTATAGAAAGTGAGGTTTATATGGGACAAATAACTAAAAATAATAATGGAGGGTTAGCTTATAATATAACTTATGATTCATAGTGATGGTAGAGGTTGGCTAAGCTTAAGCAGATTTTAAGGTGTAGGGAATATGACTATGTCATAATGTTCCATAATTTGGTCAACATATATGTGAATGTGTTCGAAATAGTGCATGTTAAGATTTTAATTGCTACTTTATTGGCCTCGAAAGATGTTTATGAAGTGGAGAAGGGATTCATAGTTTGGAGCTAAGTGTACAAGAGATTAGCAAATTATTAAAATTAAATATAAAAATATTTATTTAAATCATTAAATATAAAGATAGCTACCCAAATCATTAAAGATAAATAAATTTCCTTGAAGTCACCAAGCACCAATTAAATGAAAATCACTTATCCACCAAAATATTTTATTCATCAATAGATGATTATAACACATTTTAATCCATATTTACAAGTACTACAAGACTCTTATGTAACCGCTTTGACTGGAAAAAGTGAAGGAAAAAAAAAGAGAAAAGGGGTTTACTTATCATTTATGCATAAGAGTTTCAATAACATATTTTTAATATTTCATCCATAACAAATAATATTAAATATTTTCATATAAGTTCTTAAGTAAAAAAACAAAGGTAACTTTAATTTGAAAAAAAAATAAATTATGGGCTATTTATTAGGCTCTTGATTGGACTATTATAGTTAGGTTTTTTCATGATATCTTATTTAGGCATTTGGTCCTAACAATTATAACTAGGCTCTGGGCTTAACTAAATAACACACAACATCAATCAGTCAGATTAACATTAGAATCCCAAAGGCGTTTCCTTTCCAAAACATCATTTTTTACATATATAAAAGTATTAAGAAATAGATGTAATTAGTGAAACTTAACTGACTAATGTGTTGAGGTTGAATGGCCAAGCTAGAAAGGAAAGCTTGAAATGAGTCTCATATGATCCATATGCTTCGATTGATGAAATAATGAAAGTTATTACAACTTTCCTCTTGATAAAAAATATTAAATTGCCTAGCTAGAAAAGTGTTTTTTATTCAAGCAGAAGAGAGATTTTCATATCTAGTAAACAAAGAAGGTTTACTTAATAGTCACGAACTAAATTCATGTAGTCCATGATTTTAGCATCATTATTTAAATCTCTAATATTCCAATCAACAATGATAAGACATGCAACACCTTTAGATATTCCATTCCCTTTTTTGGAGCTAGAAGTATTAGACTAAAAGCATGATTCTATGACTTGTGTAGCCTCCAGATATTGATTATTCATGTCATTAAACACTTCATATGATTTATAAAGGTCATTTCCAAAGCAATTTGGTTGGCTAGAGGTTGTTAAAGAAGGAGAATAAGCTTTGGCAATAGCCAACTCAAGTGAGAGGCAATACATAGTTAATGTTATTAACAGGAAGGAGACTTACAAATTTTAGGTATGGGGCATCAATTGGTGCAATAATTGGTAAAGAGAAGAAAATAAATTTTGAGAGGGTATTTCTCCTAAAGATTTTATTTTGTTGTTCTTGTTGTGGCTTATATCCCTTCTAAAGGTAGCATGGAGATTCGGTGCATGGTGTGTAGAGGATTTAGGGCATCATAATGGGAAAATGCATCACACAAATTGCAAGGGACATGTTTTCATTTATACAAAACTAGTTGGATATCATATTTACTTTTGATAATCAAGGAGATGAAATATAGTAAATTAGAGGTTGTGGAGATCTAAATGCTTACTCTGGCAAAATTTAATCTTGCCCATTTCTCCATACGTGGATCAATAGTGAGAGGAATGCCAATTTATTAACAATTTTGAGATTTCATATTCGGTCTAGCAGTAGAGGTGGGTTAGAAAAATTCACCTAAATAGGAAACTGTTTAAAATCTTCTTTAACATGCTTAAATTATAGAGTCTATTTTTTTTTTAAATAAAAAGCCTTCCATTAATAAATGAGCACCACTGATATTAATCATTTCTAGTATTCATTGTATTTAAATTTGAACAAAAAGAAACCTTTGGTTAGAGATAAGATTGAGTGTACATCTAAAATTCCACAAATTATGACTCTATCGTAGAAGATTGTCATAGAAGGGCCTTGCCAATAGCATAGTTGTATAGCGCCAAAACCCATGGTTTGGCACCATCCTCTATCATATATTAATAGAGAGGCGTACCTTCTCATCCTTGCATGGGATATAATTTAGGGAAAATTTGGTAGAGGGAATGTTTGATTGTAGCAATTTTTTTGAATTAATGGTACATGGATGTTGACCAAGAATAGAGGAAGAGGTAGGAGAAGAGATAAAAGGGAAACACGGACAAAGAATGTCCTCTAGCCCAATCCGAGAGTAGAAGGATTTCTAAGAATGAATGATTTTTTGACGGAGTTACACAGAGAAAGGGTATCAGGAAAGGAAACATCGTTGAAGAAAATTCTAGAACATTTTGAATCCATAAAAACTCATCTCACCGTAATATTAAAAAATTTTCAAGTTGTTTTGATAAGTTTTGCATTACGATGAAATTAATTTTCTTATGCTTGTTCTTAATTTTTCACATCATGTATTGTCGTTTAATATAATTAAGTATATATATATATATATATATATATATATAAACTTTTATCCTAAACCTAAAATTATCCTTAATGATAAATGATCATAGAGCATGTTTAAAACTTGTTGCATCTTGACAAAAAGTGCCAAGAGTTATATCTGTAACACAGTTACACATAAAATTGTAATACTACAAATATCATTATTATAGGTGATAGAACGGTCAACCATCTGTTCAGTACTCACAACCTCCATAAGGTTTAAATTTGATTCATCTCCATCGACTTCTTGTATTGTAATTACTATCTTGGCATGCAAATTTTATTGTATACTTTAACCAATTCAGTCACATCAACATCAGAATTGATATGTTTGTATTCCTTGGGTGATGTTCCATAAATGTAATAATACATATTATATTGATGCCCCTTAAGCCATGGATATATTCTAGCAATTTATGCTCTAAGAGTGAAAATATTGATATGTTCTTTCTTAAATTTGATAATCCTTTATTAGCCATCATCATACCTCTTTTTAGATTGGTCCTTGGTTATAACCCAAATTCCTCCAAATTAAAATGCAACAGAAATATGCTCTTTTGGCTCTCTGCATAAATCATTTCCCACTGTCACCATGAACATGCATTAACAAAGATAAAAATGTTATTTCAAAATTTATATAAACTCATTTAAATAGTTTTTTCAGTACTCACAAAATGGGTAGTATTGGAACACATCATTATTTAGTTGGGGTTAATGAACGATCTCCTTGGAAACAATAATCTGTTTCAAACAATCTCCTTCATTATTTACAAACAACAAACAGTTATCTGTTTGATTCAAAACATGAATAAGATATGATAATGAGAATTTTTTTTTTTGAAAAGAATAAGCTTGCAAGTCCAAAAAAAAAAAAAAAAAAAAACACACGAACACACAAAGGACACCCCGCGCCCAAGTGACACGCACAAAACAACAAGCCAATTTCCTCTAAAAGCCAATCTTTGTCAACCTCTCACAGTCAGCTTGCAAGTCCAAATACCTCTTCCTCTCCCACGGCCCTAAGCTCTCAACATGCAGAGAAAACAATATTTATTTATTTATTGAAGAATTTACTGACTGAGAGCACGGGGAGTCGATGCGAGAAAGAGGTTCCAAAACAGAGCACATAGGAAGAACATCTGAGGAGAGTTGACGGCAAGAGGGATTTCACCATGAGAGAGATGTTCCATAACACAACGCGCAAGAAAAGCATGCGAGGAGAGAAGCATGAGAAGAGGGATTTTAGCAAGAAGAGGATGTCGTGAGCTTCGGGGGAGATGGAGTACTACATTTGAGGTTAAAATTATATTTAGTTGGTAGAAATGAAATGTTAATGTTTAAGGTGCTATATATGTAAAATAAATATTATATAGTAATACGTATGTAAATCCTCTAAAAATAAATGATTCAGATTTTTTATGAGAAAAATTACAAATAATATTTATATATTAGTATAGATAATGTAGATGTATGAGAAACCTAAATATAATTCAAAGACAATAAATTTTCTCTAATACCACAAACATATATTTTAGTGTTTAAATAATATCATATACATGTCTATAAAAATTTATGTTCGTAAATACCCAATAAATAAATTAATATTGATAATATTTTTATATAATTCAATATTTCTGTAAATCCCTAATATCGCCGGACTTCTGCTCGCGCCTTATCCAACTCCGGAAGCAGACACCTCTTCGATGCGCCCGTTTCGCTTCTCTCTGATCAAAATGCCGGCAAGCTGAACTCGAATTCTCATCTCCAATCTCTTTCAGAGAAATCCCGAAAGCTAAAATTGCCATGGCTCTCTCTACAGTGAAGATATCAGAGCTCTCTTTTCACAGTTCCATGATCTCTATGCCCTTTGGCGCCAACCCCTCTCTCTCTCGCTTCCTTCGTCGCCGCTTTCTTCTCCTTTTATCGACCTCAGCGTCCCTTCGCTTCGCGGAAAGAACATCCGGCGGAGGCGCCGGCGCCGATACCCGTCGTTCATCCCACCACTGCAACTCACAGTGGGACGAAGAAGCCCGTTTTGACGAAAATTCGAACCAGAGAACCAGCACTCCCTCCTGGATTCAGCAATGGAGTTCCCCCGACCTCCAGCAGCGCCCAGCCCCCAGAGATGGGGGAGGAGGTGGAGGTTCCATAGATAGGATCGTCCACCGGCTTCGTAGCCTAGGTTTGGGTCTCGATGATGACGATGACGTGGACGAAGATGAGGCGGAGTTGCGCGTTCAGCTGGATGGCAGCGAGAGGTTGGGAGATTTGCTTGACCGTAGCTGGAATCGGCCCGATACCCAATACGCGAACCAGCCGGTTCTTCCGTGGGAGAGGGAAGAGTATAATCAGTTCACGGAGGGAGACAATGTGAACCAGAAGAAGAAGAGGGTGAGGGCACCGTGGCTGGCCGAACTTACCATTGAGGATTCGGAGCTCAGGAGGCTGAGGCAGCTCGGGATGGTGCTGAGAGAGAGGATTAGCGTTCCCAAGGCTGGGCTTACTCAACCTGTAATGGAGAAGATCCATGACACCTGGAGAAAGTCGGAGCTGGTGCGGCTCAAGTTTCATGAGGCGCTGGCTCGTGACATGAAAACGGCGCATAAGATAGTTGAGGTTGGAAATCTTTTTTTATTTTGTGTTTTTATGTTCTCTATGGACGCCAATGGAAGTTCATAAAAAAATGTGTTTTTTCTTTCTTTGTTTGGAGTCTTGTTTTGGAGTGAAGCTTTATTTTTCAATGGATTAACTAGGAAAGAAACCAGTTTTTAATGTCCTTGATTGTATGATTTTGAAAATGCACTGATGTAACTTCAGTAGCACTCCCATTTGATGTTTCACTCCGTCCTCCTGCGACAAAGAATGTGATGCTGATTTCCCTAGAATGACATGACATCTTCAATTTGCTCATATAATATTTAGGGGCTGTTTGGTATTAGATTGGATTTAATTTAGTGGGATTTAGTAAATCTTGTAAATCCAGATTTAGTAAATCCTGAGGTTGTTAAATCCTGAAAACTATTTGGTATGACAAATGTTAAATCCTGTTAACAACAACAACAACATCAAGCCTTTGTCCCACTATGTGGGGTCGGCTACATGAATCTTTTTTCGTCATTGTGTCCTGTTAAAAGTCAAATTCTCATTTAAATTTGATAAAGAAAGTTCATTTCTAATATTTTTTAACCAAGTCTTTTTAGGTCTACCTCTTCCTTTCTTAACATAAGTTAGATCTAATACCTCAACTTTCTTAACAGGGTCATTGGAAGGCCTCCATTTAATGTGG